AGGAGAAAATTATTAAAGTACACATTTAGGCAAAATCAATAAATTCATATTCTCTATTTCGGAATTGACTCTTATTAGTCACAATCTAATGATTTGTTTGTATACTCGAAATCAGTACATTTCTTTTCTTGACTAAGTTGCACGATAGTATTAAAACAATAGCTAAGGTTATGTTCAATACAACTTCATGTATTCAATCAGTTTATTCTTTTCATGATATACCTTACTAGTGATAGTGATTGAATCAATCAACTTTAAATGATAATCCAGCAATACAAGTCTGTACATGTGTAGAAGCATTTCTCTTCTATCAAAATTTAAGTTGGGGGGTGGGTGCGGTGGATTCATTATTCATGAGTTGATAGTTAACTAACCCAACTACTTTATGTATTCAAGTATATCAATGGTAAATTAATTCATATTTAGGTGTTTATGACAAATTGTTTGATGAGGCAATGATTCTGCATCAATTGACGCGATTAGGACATGCATTATTGCGAATATCTGACATGTGTTGTTGTTGTTGAAAGAAAGCTAAGCGTGTTCAGACCAAAACATGAATATTTACTATTGAATATTGAACGAAGTCATGCTAGTCCTGGATATTCTGGACTCCGACCCCGTACTTTCTGGATGTTTGTAGAATACATGTTCTTCTACTTCATATCAAGTCTTATTCTTTTACTCATTTGAGGTTTGGGACGCTCGGATTAGAATAGCCTGTTGTGTCACCGGATCCTCGCTCTCGTTTCCCAACTAAGGTAAATTTGTAATAGGTCAAGCTTACCAAAAGACATGGTTACGTGCATGTGTAACATTTGTCTTGCCTTAGATAATCAGAATGAAAAACGTCATATATGTTTTGTTCTGCCGATTAATTCTTTTTAGAACCTATTTTCCGTAGTTGATATTTTTAATTACAACTGACATTATGTCTACCACTACTACTATTACCGCTACTTCTACTACAAATACTACTACTGACACTACTACTACTGCTACTACTACTACTCACACTACTACTACTACCACTACTGATACCACTACTACTACTCACAGTGCTACTACTACTACTACTACTACTATTGTGGTGCGAGCTACTTATAAGTAGTATATGACGTGAGTGTCAACGTAATGTCTGGCAGCAGAAGATGGGGGAAGATCAAGAAAGGAAGAGTTAGAACACAATGGAATTTGTATGAAACGCATGAATAGTGACAATGGATTGATGTTTTGCAACAGGAACAGTCCAGTTCGATATGATGGACTGATAATTTGCAAATTAACGATTTACGATATGGTTTTCCGATTTTACTGAGTAACTCTGTAATTTTCGTTAAATACAATTCGGTTGCCCCACCTGTGTTCTCCTTCACTACACTACTACTACGACTACTACTATTACTACTACTACTCACTCTATTATTATTTTTATTATTATTACTACTACTGCTGTGACATTTGACTTTATAATTTTATCTCTCTGTATGTTAAAATATGTTCTGAAAACTTAAATCCAATGTAAATATGTATATCAGATATCATTGTTCATTGTTCAGACTCTATTTAAAGAAAGATTTTTTTTCTCTCATGTTATTTGAGTTTATAGGAAGAAGCAAATATTGGTCGACCGAATTGGGAGCATTTAAATGATAAATTGCATGTTTTAATTACTATTGATGATTATGAAAATCGTGCTAAAATTAGACTGGAAAAAGCTAGTCAATACATTAGTCAATTTTTACAAGAAAGTATCAAAGTGGTAAGTTCTTTTTTTAATGCACATTATGAATTTTTGTTTCAGGGTGTGTGTTACGCCTGCACGTAAACACGTCAACTTGATATACTTGAACTATTACGAGTTTACCTGGTCGGAAACGAGAGCGAGGATCGAGGATCCGGTGATACGACATGCTACTCAAATCCGATTATCCCAACCCCCATATTGAATAAAAATAAGAAGACTTGATGTGAAGTAGAACCTGTATTGTATTGTACAAGCATCCGGAATGTACGAGGTCCGAGTCCAGAAGAGAAATAGGATCCCGGACTAGGGATTCGGGACCGGGTCCTGGTCGCGGTCATAAAACGTTACAGATAATGTGTATTTATGCATTTTGGTCGAATAGGAAAGAGCATCGTAGTGTGTGACGTTGACAGTTAAGACGACCAATAGGAGGTAACATTTGAAGTGACATCGATAGTCAGAAAAACCAATAAGAAACAACATTGGAGCACGTGACATTGATGTCTAGGACGACCATAAAATTGACCAGTAGGAATTAACCAGTAGAAATTGACCAATAGGAATTGACCTATAATTCTCTTAGGATATTGTATGAATATCCTAACAGTGTGTACTATATATACTCCAAGTTTGTGTATGATTTTATGTCTATCCCGTACAATATGGATGCTTTTATAGCTTGCTTAAACGTGTGACTTCAATTTTCGTAGTTTATTAGTCAGAAATACACACTAATCTCTCATGAAGTGTAAATGATACAGTAGACTTTTATTTCTTTTTGTAGTAATTATGATAGATATCATCATATCATTGATACTTATTGTTTGATTGAAATCATGAATTGATCAATGTTAGACCATTACTGTGAAACTTAGAAGCACCAAAGGACTGTTTCGTCCTAGTATGGGACTCATCAGCAGTGCGCATACATAACTCCACAAATGGGAATCAAGCTGAGGACCTTCGGTTTCGCACGCGAATGCTCATCCTCTTGACCACTCAGCCGGCATTCAACGGTGTTTATGTATGACTTCAATAAATTCACAACATTGCACCACTTCACTTATTGTCTTCGGTAGGCAACTGCCTCGCATCCGATATGGTTGAATTCCACTGTCCATGAGTTCTCACCCGAACTCTGAGAATTCTCTCATGAAGGTAGTCACTAATGAGCATGTGATATTGATATGGTTATAGAGAATGTGAAACCACCAATGATGGATTCATGTTTTCAATGATACTCAACATCCTCTACAACCTTATTATAATGGCAATGACTTTTGTTGTCATATATCAATCAAAAGATATGTACACGAAGAAATGGACTATGCATTAGTGGTTAAAACATCCGACGCTTAACAACAACGCACTATCACCCCCGACGTCATTTTATGCATTTTGATCAGCTTTACATAGAGTTTTGACTTAAAGCATTAACTACTTGCATCTATATACTTGTTTACTGAGTTGTTTTAGATTAATCTAAGCTTATATTGCAATTCTCCCGACCGTAGCTGCTACCTTGACGTGGTGGTCGGGCTTGCCTATCGTGATGACCCAACCGAGCTATACTGGCTGGAACATATGTTCCTCAAGGTCCTACCATGCCAGACAGGTCGATTGGAGAACGATGAGACTAATAGCAGCTACCCAAGGTCTGAGGGCGAAGTCGTACTGCTGACTGCAGAGGGGTGTGACAGCAGTAAGGTGTTTCCCTCGGACAACCAGTACCTGCAGCGATACTGCCTCCTCACAAGGAAGGAAGGGTTAGAAAAGGTCGACCCTAAAAATGTCACACCTCCCCTAACTCACGGATTTCCGTCTCCTTGGGTAAGGGTGCCCACTAAGGGCCTTTAAGAACGGAGCTAATCCTCAAAAAACATTTCATAAAAAGGCCGTGCGTGACCGGCCTCAAGCAGTTGTCCCTTGGGCTCTGTGGTCACACACCAACACTAATCCATCTTCCTTTTCAGGTTCGTCAAGAAACAACCTTCCACGGTGTGGGCAGCCGGGAAGTGACAACCGCCCTCATACCCATAACAGCACGCCAGACCAAATTGGTCAAAATCAAATCCTTCCTACACCCCCTAGTACCTCTTTTATCTCCACGACTAACTCTTCTCACATTCATTCATCACAGTGCACAGCTAATGCAGACGATACGAGTTCGCGAAACGTCGTTCCTGGTCTCCTTAAACCTCGCTCTAGACTACATGTTGGAGCATTTAATGTACGGACATTGTGTCAAATAGGGCAACAGGCTTCCTTAGCTAGGACTTTAGAATCTCGTGCCATCGATGTATGCTGCGTCTCGGAAACGCGCATACAGGATCCTAGTCGCGTCATACACTTGGCCACAACATGTCAAAATAAAGAAGCAGCTCGATTTACCCTTCGTGTATCCGGTAGCCCTGATGCTGCTTCCAGGGGTCTTGCTGGTGTAGGCATAGCATTGAGTCGTAGGGCAGAACAATCTCTCCTTGACTGGATCCCAATAGATAGTCGATTGTGCGCTGTCCGACTAAACGGGACAGTAAGGACTCGGAAAGATAGGGACAATCGCCGTTGCCTCTTCATCGTATCTGCCTATGCCCCCACTGAATGCAGTTCAGACGAGGTTAAGGATGAGTTTTACAGAAAGCTTTCGGACCTCCTCCAAAAAGCTAGGCGCTCTGATATAGTAATAATGGCTGGTGACTTTAATGCTCAAGTAGGTAGACTAAGTGAGCAGGAGAGACACCTAGGTGGATGTTATGGTGTCGCGGCTCAGAGAACAGACAATGGTGACCGTCTGTTGCAAGCATGCTCAGACAACCGCCTATTCTTAGCAAACACCAACTTTAGGCATAAGGAAAAGCATCTGTTGACCTGGCGACCTCCAAAGTCGTCTCAACGTTGGACTCAACTAGATCACATCGCCATCAGCCACCGATGGAGGGGTTCGATAGAGGACTGTCGCTCGTTCTGGAGCACATGTCTAGATTCAGATCATGCCCTAGTGCGAGCGCGTATTTGTCTGAAGCTTACTGGGCGTAGGAAAGACACCGTAAGAAAGCCTCTTAGGGTTTTACTTAATGATAATAAGGCGAAAAATATATTTCAGGAACAACTAGAAAGACAGTTAGGCGACCATTTAAGCGATTCCCATCCGGAAGCAGGATGGAATGATATCAAAAAGGCTGTGGAAACAGCAGTGATATCTGCTAGTAAGGTTGACCATAAGGCTAGAATGAAACCGTGGATCTCAGTAGCATCCACCGATCTGATGGATGCCCGAAAACTCATCCCACCTGGCTCTGAACATGATGAAGAACGAAGTCAACTCAGGCGCAGACTTATAAAAAGCCTACGTAACGCTCGCGAACAGTGGTGGGTGGCGAAAGCAAAAGCGATGGAAAAGGCAGCGGCGATAGGCAACAGTAGACAACTTTTCCGACTTATCAAGGAAACTGGTATTAGGAATCCTAGTGTAAGTGAGACTATCTCAGAAAATGACGGGACTATTATTTATTCTCAATCCAGGAGACTGGATCGATGGGCAGAACACTTTAGGGATCCGTTCAACTGGCCTCGAGCCACTCTTCGGTTACCCACGATCTCCAGTCATCCTGAATGGCAAATCGACGTAAGTCCGCCTAGTCTTAATGAAGTTGAAAGAGCGTTAGGAAATCTGAAGCGAGGACGAGCTGCAGGTCCTGATAGACTGACCCCTGAGATATTTAAGGATGGTGGTCCAGTTTTATCAACTAGGCTGACTGAGATCTTAGGTGGAATCTGGGAACTGGACGTAATCCCATCCGACTGGTCTCATTCACTGGTTGTCCCAATCTACAAGAAATGACAAAAGTCTTCTTGTGACAATCACAGGGGAATAAGTCTAACTAATATAGTAGCTAAAATTTTGGCCTGAATAATACTTCGACGCTTAACGAAAGCTCGTGAAGAGCAAACTCGAGAAAACCAGTCTGGTTTTCGACCTGGACGTGGCTGTATAGACCACGTCTTCACACTAAGGCAGGTCCTAGAACACAGACACATATTTAGACGTCCTAAAATAGTTATCTTCCTGGACCTAAAAGCGGCATTTGACGCTTTTGATCGTGAGTTTTCTGTGGCAGTGTCTGTCATTGGAAGGTGTACCAAAGAAGTACATTAACCTTATACAAGCTCTCTACTCGAACACCACTGGTCGAATGAGAGCTTAAGGCGAACTGTCAACGGAATTCTTCACTTCAAGTGGTGTCCGTCAGGGAAGTCCACTTTCTCCATTTTTGTTTAATTTTATCATAGACATGCTCCTAGAAATAACATTATCCTCGTCTAAATTTTCAGGAGTAGACCTT